TTTTCAGAGAAGGCTTTTGAACATACAGATTTCTTTCTGGTTTTACTTTTTCAGGGGAGATGCTCAGGTACTTTTGTTTACTTTTTTATTGAGCTGCCCTGGGAGGGTGGCAGTGGGATGATTACAGTTGAAGTTGAAAGTGTTGGAGATCTGCCATGTTCCTCAGTGCTCTGTGGAGGAGTAGGAGCCATCTGGATACAAGCAGAAGAAGCTCTTAATGAGCTCCCTTTTGTTTTGCATGACAGACTTTGGAATTGACTTGTTAAATTCACTTTAACCTGGAAGCTCATCTTTGCTTTGATATGGTATAAAGGGAGGGGATTCCAGGGGCTTTCTGGTGGACCTCTGCCTCAGCAGCTGTTACTTACTGAGTTTTGACGGCTTCCTCCGCCCCCTTGCTCTCCTGCGCAGAACTTCTGACCCATCCTTTTTGTCCATGGTGTTTGATCTGTGCAGTTTCCAGGTGGCTTGGCCCTTGTCTTAAACAAACATCAGTTGCGAAGATCAGAGTAGGCTGGCTTCTGAAGAGCTTTTTCCTATTCTGCTTTGCAGACCTGCTGAGAGTTGCAGTTCCCCTTTCATGGTCTCCATTCCATCTGCCTCGTTAAAGGGTAAAAGGTGGGTTTGCATATGACGGGGCTATTCACGTTGGCTGGAAATTCATTTCAAATTAATTTCTACATTTCTGTCATAGGCATATAGCAGCCATTGTATTTCCTTGATCTTGGCATTTCTCTAACAAGACTGCCAGTGAGCAACAAGAGGAACAGCTTCTGTAAACTCACCAAGGCAAGAGCAAAGGAAAAGTTCCCCTGTATAATGGAGTTTTTTTGAAATGTTGTTCTCAGCTCTCCACTTTGTGTAGTATTGAGACCTGAGTAATACAGGATTGTATTGGTTAGGCATATAGTGGCACCTCTTCAGGCAGCCATCACACTGCGCAGCATTAATGACACTGTGTTTCTATTCTGACAACAATGCAGGACAGTGGTTGTTACCTTTGATTTACAGATTATTATTGTTAGGTGCCATGGAGTCCGTTCTAGCCCATAACAACTGTACATATAATGGAATGAAACACCACCCAGTCCTGCACCCTCCTCACAGTTGTTGCCACAGTTGAGCCCATTGTTGATGCCATTCTGCCAGCTCATCTCTTTGGGGGTCTCCCTTATTTTTGTCATCTCTCCACTTTACTTAAAAGCAGGATATCCTTCTCCAGGGACTGGTCCTTCCTGATAATATATCCAAGTATGAGAGACGAAGTCTGGCCATCTCAGTTTCTAAGGAGCATTCAGACTGTACTTCTTCATACACTGATTCATTTGTTCTTTTGGCAGTCCATGGTACCTTCACTATTCTTCTCCAACACCACAATGAAAAAGCATCAACTCTTCTAGGTTCTTCCTTATTCATGGAAACAGCAGTCAAGAAATCAAAGGATGTATTGCATTGGGCAGATATACGCAAGACTTCTGTAAGGTGTTCAAGAACAAAGATGTCAGTTTGAGGACTAACATTTGCCTGACCCAAGCCGTGGTATTTTTCAATTAGTCTCATATACATATAAAAGTTTGACAATAAATAAGGAAGACCCTAGAAGAATTGATGTGTTTGAGTAATAATGTTTTGCAGAAAGAAAAGGGGAAAAAGCAGAATTTGAACTCAGTTCTGCTGAGTCCAAAGTCTGTTTTCTTTCCTTCCTATTGTTATTGTTAAGTGCTGTCAAGTTGGCTCTGACTCATAGCGACCTTTATAGGGTTTCTGAGTAGCAGCTTGTAGATTTGAACTGTTGACCTTATGGTTAACAGTCCAGTGCTTGAAGCCTATAAAATACCACGAACTAAAGCCATCACCTGTCTTTGTAGATAAAATGTATTGGAAAATGATTGTACCATTTTTTTTTTTACATATTGTCTGTGGCTACTTTTTAGTTGCTGCAGAAACTTTATGGACTGCAAAGCTTAAAATATTTACTATCTGGACCTTTAAGAAAAAGTTTGTTGACCCTTGCACAACACTGATGGTGGCCAAGTCATTAGCAAATAGGATAGTTATTCTGACTACACAAGATTAGTACCGAAACCTACCTCTTTCTTCTATCTGTCTCACTTTATTCTTTTTATTGCATTTTGTCTCCTAAATATTTTCATGATTTGTGCAGGTAGAGACTTTTACCTCTTTGTCTAAATGCCTGTAAGTAGTGGTGTGATTTATTTACTTAGAGGTTTGTTTTTGTCTGGAGACTTGAAATAGATTGGTTGAGATTCTAAATGGTTTCCTTGAAGCATAAATTTTTCAGCAGGTTTTTCTTGCTTAAGGGAAAGAGTCAGATACTACTCTAGTGTGATGTTTTAGCAAAGCTCCGCAGATTTCATTTTAAAGGGGGAAAGACTTCTCTTCTTTTTGCCTGATAATTAGTTTCGTCTTACCCACATGGACAGATTGCAGCCAAGGTGGGGCTGAAGAAATATTAATATTAACATCAGCTTTATGCTCCTGAGGTTTATTAGAGGCTTGCCTTGAAGGAAGGAAGTTGTAAAGCCAAGGTTTTTAAATGTCAGTGTATGTAAGAAGTACTCAGGGCTCTTGTTAAAATTGGAGATTTCCGGATCCTAGTCCTAGGCTGAATCAGTAAGTCCAGTGTAGTTGCTTCGAAGAAAAACCTGATGTGGGGTGTGGTCAAAGCTTAAGGCAATGATTCTAGATAGTCCATATGTGGATATTATCTATGATTAGTTTTTTTGGTTTTTTGGGGTTTTTTTTATTAAATCCTAGTTCAATCTACCTTGAAATGTAATTAGTTCAATTAAACTTTAAATGCTTATTAAGTAAAACAGTATAGTAAATAAAATAATATGCTGTCAATGTATTTCCACTGCCGCTAATGGATTCCTGGTGTGGTGCAGTGGGTTAATGCGTTGGACTGTAAGGTCAGTTTGAACTGCAAAGTCAGCGGTTCAAGCTCATCAGCTGCTCCTTGGAAACCGTATGAGTTGGAACTGACTGGATTACACTTAACAACAGCCAACACTAACTACCGCCAATAATGATAATAGCATTTTATGTTTCATACAGTGCTTTATAGTTATAGAGTTCATCATTACATATGGAAACCCGATGTGGCAAATTGTATAATTTTCATTTATCAAATGAGGACACATTTAGATTTAGAAAGCAATTATTTTATTTTCTAATATTACATAGCTAGTAAGCAGTGCATTTATAATTCTTGTATACCACTTCTAATTCCTAGACCAGCATTCCATCCAGTTTACCACAATGATCTTAGGATACTTGTTTTGATTTTTAGAGGAAAATGTAATCATTTTAAAACTCATGAAGTGCTATATATCTTGGTGTGGCACTATGGGATAAATGCTGGACTTTTAACCACAGGTCAGTGGTTTAGACTCACCAGTCACTCCTCAGAAACCCTAGACAGGTTGCTATGAGTTAGCACTGATAGCAGCAACAACCTGTTAGGAAGGATGAGTTGACCAAAATCAAAATCAAATACTTTGAGGCTCCCCCAGTTATGGAGGTGATTGGAAGTACATGCAGATTAGCAAGTTATTTTTCTTTTGTAGAATGTTCATAGCATGGAAGAAGAATTCTCTCTCCTTTGTTTGGCAGAAACTTTATAAGACGAGTCGAGAGATGCAGGAGAGGATCATGGACCTTCTGGTGGTGGTGGAGAATGAAGACATAACTGTTGAGCTCATTCAAGTGAATGAGGACTTGAATAATGCCCTCCTTGGATATGAGAGGTGAGCAGATGAAGTGCCCTTTCCAACCTTCCTCTGTTTACACTTTTACCACTAGAGTGCCCATCAGCAACTTGGAAGTTAAAGCCAAGGCCACCTTCCTCTTGAGCTCCAGAAGCTTGGTGCTAGCCTCCTGGGAGCTTACAGTGTAACAGTGAGAGAGCACCTTCATAGTACCTGGGGCATTCTTGGGCATTGGACTTCGTTGTATAGTGTAAGCAACACTCACATACTGATCTGTGAGCAGGGCCAGGATCTTACCTGTATTGCCTGCACTGAGCACCTGGTAGGCAGGCTTTCAAAGAGAAGAATAGTATAGCCACATCTCTTTGTGAAAGTGGGGTTTAACCTATGTGTTAACGATGGAGTTTTGAGTTTTTGAGCTAAGTTTACCATGGAATGATAAAAATGGAAAGGGTGTTTGATATGGAGAAAATAATCTATACAAAAAAGAGTAACCAAATTGAATATGTTGTTATTATGTGTCATCAGGTTGGTTCTGATTCATAGTGACCCTGTATAGAGTTTCTGAGGAGTGGCCAGTGGGGTTGAACTACTGACTTTGTGGTTAGCACTCCAGTGTCTACCCTACAGCACCACACAAGGATCCCAAATTTATTACATAAACATATATAGTTTTTAAATTTCCATGCAGAAAATATGAAGATCAAAATTTTAAATATACACAATTTTTTTTCTTTCTGCAGTTTTTATGGTTGTAATCATAAAGGACTTAAACTTTTGCTTCTCCTTTGATTTCATTCGCTTTAACAAGTATTTTCATATCCTGGTGGGTTAATGCATTGGACTGCAAATCGGTTTGAACCACAAGCTCACCAGCCTCTCCTCAGAAACCCCATATGGGTCGGAACCGACTCGACAGCACTTAACAATGACAACAACATGTTTTTAAGAAGTTTTGGTAATGATCCATGTTTATCTCATCCTTGTTATTAGACATTTAGTTCTTTCTAAATCATTTATTCATTCATCAGAATAATAGTCTAATAGTCCCATGTAATAATCTAGCCAGTAGTCAGGAAGACATGTTAAATTAAATGTGGGGGTGGTGGTAATGTGCTGTGGAGTTGGTTCTGACGCTTAGCGATCCTGTACAGGGTGTCCGAGGCTGTAAATCTTTACGGGAGCAGAAAGCCTCATCTTTCTCCCGTGGAACAGCTGGTAGTTTTGAACTACCGACCTTGAGGTTAGCAGCCCGATTCCTAACCACTATGCTACCAGAGCTCCTTGGAAATTGAAATAAGCACCATGGAAGCAGACGTTGAGAGATCTATTTAGTGTCAACAATAGTTGAACTTAATCCAGCCCAGGGTGAGAGGAAGGGAAAACAAGCCTCTTAATGAGGAGATAACCGTGAAAGCAGAGAATGGACACCCACTGCCATCGAGTCAATTCTGCCTCATAGCGACCCTGTATTGGGTTTCCCAGACTCTGAATCTTTAGGGGAGCAGACAGCCTCATCTTTCTCTCAGGGAGCAGTTGGTGGATTTAAACTGTTTATCTTGCAACTAGCAGGTTAATGCTTATCCCACAGTGGCACCAGGGTTCCTGACAGGATGAAGAGTTTAGTAAGCAAGAAACAGAGATAGAGCATATATAGTTTGTAAAGCTATTGTGAAGCAAAATAGACTTTGGGAGAGAGTGTGTGCCCAGAACCCAGTCCTAAGAAACTTCTACATGCATTGGTATAGACAAGTGACTCTCAGTCTTTTGGTCTTTTGTTACTGTTGAGTCAATTCCAACCCATGGTGACCCCATTCATGCTCCATAGGGATTTTAGGGGACATCACCAAGCCTATCTTCCAGGTACCTCTGGGTAGTTTCTAACCATCAGCATTTTGACTCCTAGCCTAGTGCTTAACCCTTGCGCCACCCAAGGATTCTTCAGACTTACATAAAATCAGCTGTGGATGTCAAACTATGAGGTTGGTGATTTGAACTCACCAGCTGCTACTTGGAAGCCCTAGACAGGGTCGCTGTGGGTCGGAACCGACTCGACGGTACTTAACAAAAACAACTGGACCACTGTCTGTTTGAACTGCAAGGTCAACAGTTCAAACTCACCAGCTGCTCATCAGAAACTCTTTAGAGGTCTCTGTGAGACGGAACTGAATCAACGGCAGTTAACAAAAGCATCTCATATTTAGTAGGAACATCAGCTTTTAAGGGGGCTTCAAAAAGTTTGTGGGAAAATTCTGGCTTTTTTTTCCTTTTGAAATTCTTTATTGTGAAACAAGTGAAGGTTTACAGACAAGATCACCAGTTGTTTTGTTGTTTTTTAAAAGTTTTCATTGTGAATTAAGTGAAAGTTTACAGTGAGGTCATCAATTTTACATTCATACAAACAAAATCATATACTTTGTTTCATTACAATGATTATAATCCCTTCCATGCACCATCAGTTAACAGTATTTTTCTCTATTCATTTTAGCTCTTTTTTTGTTTGTTTATTAAATACTCAGGCATATAATATAATCATTTAAACCACTAAAGGGCACATTCTGCAAGCCTGTCTCCTGACCGCCGGCTCTCAGTCCCTCTTTTTCCATGAATCTAGAGTCCTCAGCTGCAACCTCTCTCCATGTCCCCATCTCTACCTCCATCTCTGGTATCACTGCTTCTCTGGATAGGGTCCTGCGTTCCACTTGTGCTCTTCTCCCTTGATGGTCCTAGGGTTCTCTGTTTATGGACTGTAAGATTAACTACTCCCCTGTTTTTGTCACAAAACTTCACCCTTTACGATTGTGACAGTTGCAATTAGTCGTAATAACATTACTATTGAATTATAAGAATCTTATCCCCATCTCTTTTCACCACACCCATCTAGACAAGATGAAAAGGATTCAGTGGGGACTCTATCTTGCCCCACACACTCTTAAACTGAACTCCCTCTTGGAACCTTGTAAGCTAGTCACTTCGTGCCTTTATCGGCCCCTCATTTAAGGTAGCCAATGTCTAAGTTGCCCACCCCTATCTACCCTGCATACAGAGGGATAGCACTGATACTTGATGTGAAGACTCCTTCCCTCTCTGTTGGCATTTTGAGCGACTACATCCATGAGTGTAGGTTAAGTTAATCAAATTGTAGCAGTTTACCCCCTCTAGTCGTGTTCTGATTATCAAGCCATTGAGGCTAGGTCACATGGGTACTGTCTGCAAGTTTGGGTGTTCTTGTGAGTCTCCCCTCACTTCACATCTGTTTGATGCTTTACAAGATCATCAGTTTTACATTCAACAAATCATACACTGTTTCTTTTCTCAATGATTTCAATCTGTTCCGTTTAACAAGAGTTATTCCCACTTCCTCCCTGTAATTATTTCCATTCCACCTTCCTTCCCATCCCATGTCAACTTTGCTGTTAGGTAAATATTACTCTTTTAATGACTGTTTCCATTATTTAAAAAACTTTTATTGTGAATTGAGTGATGGTACATGGGAGAACATTAGTTTTATCCTCATCCTATCATATTTTTTTCTTTAAAGTTTATATTGAGAATTGAGTGATAGTTTGCAAGGGAGAACATCGGTTTTTACACTCATCATTTCATTGCAATGATTACAGTCTCCTCTGTGCATCATCATTCAGCAGTATTTTTGCTTCTTTTCCCTCTCTTGTTTTATTGGGGGTGGAGGGAGGATGTACACAAAAACACTCGGGACATCCTATCGTATATTGTTTCATTGCATTGATTACAATCCCCTCCATGCATCATCACTTAACAGTATTTGCTTGTATTCCCTCTGTTTTGTTTTGTTTTTTTGATGTGCACAGAAATACTCAGGAAGCTATAATCATTTAAACAACCAAAGGACACATTCTGAAAGTCTGCCTCCTGGCCACCAGCACAGAGTCTTTCTCTTTACACGAGTCTGGAGTCCTCAGCTGCTCTGTGTCTATGCCATCACCTCTGCCGCCATCTCTGGTGTCACTGCTTCTCTGGTTAGGGTCCCATGTTCTGCTCATACTCTTCTCTCTTGATAGTCCTAGAATCCTCTGTTCCTGGAATGTACGATTAACTCTTCCCCGCTTTATGTTACAAAACTTCTACCTTTACAGTTGTGAGGATCGCCATTACTCATGTTAACAATTATTCACTATTGAATCTAGAAAATCCTATCACTATATCATTTCACCAGACCCATTTAGACAACATGAAAACTATTCACTGGAGATTCTACCTTCCCCTGCACACTCTAAAATTAAACTCCCTCTGAAAAACTTGTAACCCAGCCATTTTGTGCCTTTATACGCTTCCCGCCCCCCATTTTAGGTAGCCAATGTCTAAGTTGCCCATCCCTATCAACCCTGTATACCGAGTCCAAGTTTTTTAAATTCCATCTTTCCACAAACTTTTGGAAGTCCCGTATATTCTCATCAAAAAGATGAGTCCCGTGACCGCAGTCTAGCACTGAGCAAAATTGTGGGCCTTACCCTTTATTTCCTGTAATTAAAGTATTTATAAGTGGAACAGATACTAAAAAAAAAAAAAAAAAAAGTGATTTTCCGTGTATTGCTGCCTCGTTGTTTACATTGTGGAGAATTGTGTTGCAAACCATGAGACCACTGACTAAAGACTTCCTTAGAGGCAAAATATGCATTTTTTTTGGTCTAGATGTTGAGATTCCATTACCTCAGTGGGCAGTTCATTCTGATTCAGCTCTGAACTGTGTGCACCACACTGACTACAGTAAATGGTGTGACAGCAACATTGAAGTTTTCCATCAGATTCAGAAAGAGAGTTTCGCCACTAAAGAAACTGATCTGCTGCTTTACATGTCTAGGACTGCAGTAACAAATTACCAAAAACTCTGTGCTTTAAAAAGGCAAAATTTTACTATCTTACACTTTTATAAGTCAGAATTCTGAGGTAGGTCTCAATGGACTAAGATCAAGGTATAGGCAAAGTTGCATTTTTGGGGGCAGCCTCTCAGGTAGAATCCAGGAGCCCTGGTAGCTCTGTAGTATAAGCATTGGACTGCTAACCACAAGGTTGGCAGTTCAAATGCATCAGCCACTCTTTTGGTAAGAGAGAGAGATGAGGCTTTCTGCTTCCATAAAAGCCTTGGAAATCCTATACTGAGTGGTTATGAGTTGGAACCGACTGAGTAGGACCTAATAAGAATAAGGGAGAATTCATTCACTTGTCTTCCATAATTTCTAGCGGTTTCTTGCTTTCTTTGTCTCCGGCTCCCCGTCTACAGAGCCAGCAATGCCTGGTTGAGTCCTCAGTGTGTCACTCTAACTTCCTGTTCTGCCACATCATTCTCATTCAAGGACCTTAGTGATGACATCGAGTCTGCCTGTGCAATCCTGAGCAATCTCCCTATTGTAAGGCCAGCTGACTAGCAACCTTCATGGCATTTGTCAACTTCATTCCTTTTTGCCATGTAACCCAACACAAGTGTTGGTGCCAGTGATTAGGCTGTGGATATCTTCAGGGTTTCATTTTGCCTGGTTGCCCTCTAGCAACCAAAGAATCAAATCCATCCTGCCATGTAAAATGAAATTTCCTTATTCCAGGACCCCCAAAGTTTTGACCCATTACCTCTAAGGAATAATTGTGCAAATAAGGAAATAGAAATGTGACCTAAAAGGTTGTTCGAACCCATTGCATAACTGACCAGCACATAAGAAGACAATGCTATAAATAGAAGGAAGGTCAAAACAACTGTTTTAGGAGAAAATTGTTAGGCCTAAGTGCTTATTCAGAGTCTAGGCTCATGAAGTTAGTGTGCAATAATAGTAATACTAAAAGTTTCTAAAGCAGCTCTTGGCTGATAAAGTAATCATTTTCTTATTTATCTACATGTACTGAATCATTGTGTGTGTTTATGTGTATGTATGTATACATGCATGAACACATGTTTGTATGTATCTACATACTTACCTACTGTCCACCTATATATTTCTTCTCCTGAAACTAACTCTAAAGGAAGTCATTCAGATGTTGTTACTCCTTTTGAGCAGATTGGGAAATGAGGTGCAGGAAATCATACCCATAATCATATTTGTTATTGTGAAGTGCCGTTGAGTTGGTTCCAACTCATAGTGGCACTGTATAGGGTTTCTGAGGAGTCACTGGTGAGCTTGAACCACCAACCTTGCAGTTCAAACTGACTGTGCAGTCCACTGCATTAACCCACAGCACCACACCAGACATCTTCATAATCGTATAGCTGTGGGCACTGCAAGTTAATGTGCTAGACTGCAAAGTTGGTGTGAACCACAAACTTAGCAGTTGAAACTCACTAGCCAGCTTGGCAGTTCAAGCTCATCAGCCGTTCCTCAGAAACCCTGTACAGGCTCGCTGTGGCTCACAATGGCAAAACCCACTCAATGGTACTTAACAACAATGTCAACTAGATATTAATGCTAACATGTGAGCCTTGGACTTCTGACTTCAGTTTCATTAATCTTTCAGATCTATTCTATTTATTTAACTGCCTCTCTTTTATAAGCAATGGAAAAGCAACGTAAAATTAAATCAGAGTTTTAAAAATAAACAGGGAAACGGTTAAAATACTTAAGTGTATTTGAATTATGGAATCTTATTTTTAATGAAAAAAATTGGAAACAAATATTTAAATGGTAAAATATATGATGATACATTCATCAAGTAAAATATTTATGCAGCCATTACAAATATATATTTCCAAGGCATTGTGATCTAGGAAATTGCTCACAACGTAATTTAGTTAAGACACAAACTTATATAATTTCAGTTAAGTTTAAAAATAGATACATTTATAGAAACAAGACTGAAAGGAAATGCATCATCATGTTGTTGTTTTTGTTAAGTACAGTCAAATCAGTTCTGACTCATAGCTACCCTTTATAAGGTTTCCAAGTATTAGAGACTATTTTTGGGTGATGCAATTATTATTCATTTTAGTACTATTTAGTTATTATTCATTTTTAGCATAGCCATTTTCTTGTAGTTTTCTGTAGTGTACATTATTACATTTACACCCTGGAAGCAATTTATTATTAAAGGCATTTTTTTTTGGAAATTGACTGTGGATGAGATTGATTTGTTTTGAAATATTTGTGCACTATGAAAATTTGTTCAGTTTTACAGAATTTTCATATTTTCTTCCTTTTAAATACTACATTTTGATCATTCAAATAGATTTGCTCGAAACCAACAAAGGATTTTGGATCAAACTATGCACCAAGAAGAAGCTGCCAATGTAAGTGAATAGAAATATTAAGACATAAAAAGTTAAACATTTTAGCCACTGTACATTCATGAGCCAGGTTTATCTAAAACAGGCCTTAAAGAAGAAGAAGAAGAGATGCATATTGACAGTGTGGAGTGTGCTTAGTTGTGTAGAATATTTACTTTAATAATGTGATGTTATTAATAAATTATGGTATGAAGCTATTAATAGAGTACACGACAACTCAAAATGAGAAACAGTTGTATACATCCATTAATAATCAGAACATGGAATGTCCAAAGTATGAATGTAGGAAATTGTCAAAAATGTAATGAAGCGCATGAACATCAATATCTTAGGCATTAGTGATCTGACATGGACTGGTATTAGCCATTTTGAATCTGACATTCTATGATATACCGTGCCGGGAATGACAAATTTAAGAGGAATGGTGTTGCATTCATTATCAAAAGAACATTTCAAGATCTATCTTGAAGTATAATGCTGTCTGTGATAGGATAATATCCATACAACTACAAGGAAGATGTTGGAGACCTGGTGTGGTACTGTATAGGATTAAGCACTGGTCTGCAAGGTCACTTAGAACCACAAGGTCAGCAGTGCAATCATACCATCCACTCCTCAGAAACTCTGTACAGGGTTGCTATGAGTTGGAACTGACTCCATGACACTTCACAACAACAACAAGGAAGACCAGTTAATCCACTATTATTAAAATTTACACACCAACAATCAAAGTCAGTGATGATGAGATGGAAGCATTCTACCAACTTCTTCAGTCTGAAATTGATCAAACATTCAATTACGATGTATTGATAATTACTGGTGATTGCAGTGCAGTGGTTGGAAACAAATGCTCAGTAATTGGAAAACTTGACCTTGATAACAGAAATGACACTGGAAATTGCAGATAGAATTTTACAAGACCAATGACTTATTCATTGTAAATTCCTTTTTTAAACAACATAAAAGATGCTTATATATATATATGGATCTCACCAGATGGAATACACTGAAATCGAATTGACTACATCTGTGGAGAGAGGGTGGAATATCTCCATATTATCAGCCAAAACCAGGCCAGGTCCAGACTGTGAAATAGAACATCAGTTGCTCATATGCTTAAGAAAATTAAAACAAGTCCACAAGAACCAAAATTTGATTGTGGACATATCCCACTTGAATTTAGAGATTATCTCAAGAACAGATGTGATGCATTAAACACTAATGGCCGAAGACCAGAAGAGTTGTGGGACAACATAAAGAACATCATAGGAAGAAAACAAAAGGTTATTAAGAACATGGTAAAGAAGGAAAAGGCAAAAATGCATGTCAGAAGAGACTCCGAAACTTGCTAAAGCATATGGAAGAAATAAGGAGAAATTTGCTAAAGCATATGGAAGAAACAACTTTCAAAGGGTAGCTCAACAAAACAGAGTCAAGTATTATAATGAAATGTGCAAAGACCTGGAGTTAGAAAACCAAAAGAGAAGAACACGCTCAATATTTCTCATACTGAAAGAACTGAAAAAAAAATCCAAGCTTTGACTTGCTTTGTTGAAGGATTCTATGGGCAAAATATTGAATGATGCAGATAGCATTAAAAGAAGATGGAAGAAAAACATAGAGTCACTGTACCAAAAAGAAATGGTCTATGTTCAACCATTTCAAGAGGTAGCATATGATCAAGAGCCAGTGGTACTGAAGGAAGAACAAAGATCTGGGAATTGATGGAAAACAAAATGAAATCTTTCAACAAACTGATGTGGCACTGGAGGCACTCACTCATCTATGCCAAGAAATTTTGAAGAGAGCTACCTAGCCAGCTGACTAGAAGAGATCCATATTTGTGCCCATTCCAAAGATAGGTGACTTCAGTGGAATGCAGAAATCATAGGATAATATCATTAATACCACATGTAAGTAAAATTTTGCTGAGGATGATTTAAAAACAGTTGGAACAGTACTTTGAAAGGAAACTACCAGAGATCCATGTCAGATTCAGACGAGAGATATGGAATGTGGAATATCATTGCTGACATCAGATGGATCTTGGCTGAAAGCAGAGAATACCAGAAAGATGTTTACCTGTGCTTTCTTGGCTTCATAAAGACATTTGACTATGTGGCTCATAGAAAGCTATAAATAATATTGTGAAGAATGCATATTCTAAAATGCCTAATTGTGCTCATGAGGAACCTGTACATAGACCAAGAGACAGTCATTCGAATGGAAAAAAGGGACACTGATTGATTTACAGTTAGGAAAGTTGTGCACCAGGGTTGTATTCTTTTACCATACTTATTCAGTCTGTAAACTGAGCGAATAATCCTAGAAAGTGGATTGCATGATGAGCATGGATCAGGATTAGAGGAATACTCATTAACAACCTTGCTTGTTGAAAATGAAGAGAACTTAAAATACTTCCTGATGAAGATGAAAGACCACAGCTTTTTGTATGAGTTGCACTTCAATGTCAAGAAAACAAAATTCCTCACCACTGGACCAGTAAATAACATCATGATAAATGGAGAAAAGATCAAAGTTGTCAAGACTTCATTTTGCTTGGATCCACTAACAACAATCATGGAAGCAGCAGTCAGGAAATCACATGACATATTGCATTAGGCAAATTTGCTTAGCAGACCTCTTTAAAGTGTCAGTATGAGGACTAAGGTCGCCTGGCTCAAGCCATGCCATTTTCAGTAGCATCATATGCATGTGAAAGTTGGACAGTGAATAAGGAAAACCAAAGAACTGATGCATTTGAGTTATGGTGTTGAAGAAGAACATTAAAAGTACCATGGACTTAAGAAGAATAAACAGTTCTGGGTTGCTAGAAGTACAGCCATAATGCTCCTTAGAAACCAGGTCGGTGAGATTTGTCTCTCATACTTCTGACATTGTATCAAGAGGGACGTAGAGAAGGACATCATACTTAGTAAATTGGAGGGCCGGTGAAAGAGAAGATACTCCAACGCGCTGGATTGGCACGGTGGCTACAGCAGTAGGTTCGAGTGTAACAATGATTGTGAGAATGGTACAGGACCAGGCACTATTTCATTCTGTTCTGCATAGGGATGCTGTGATAGTTAAAGCTTTTGTCAACTTGACTGACCCAAGATTCCCAGTCGTTTGGTAGTTGAGATGTGGTTATTCCCGTCGTAAAACCTAATACAGGCATAGTTAACTCCTATGATGATTGGCTATAACCACACATAGTTAACTATGATGATTGGGTATGAGCAACCAATCAGTTGAAAGGCTGTTTCCTTGCTGGTGTGGTCTGCTACCAATAAAATGGACATGCAGGGAAAGCTTGCTTGCTTTCCCACTGGAGACTTGGGACTCCTGTCTGCCTATCGGCCGGCTGGGCCCACCTGCCGATCTTGGCTCAGCTGACCCAAACTTGGGACTCTACATTAGTGAACCATTTCCTTGATATTAACTTCTCCATATATATGTTTCACTGGACTTACTTCTCATGAGAACTAGTCTACGACAGTCACTGAGTTGGAACCAACTTGACAATACCGAACAACAGAGTACATAGATCCTCTAATTAAGCAGAAACTCATGTAGGTGGTGAGATGTGGTTAGTAATAGTATTGCCTGTTGAAGAAAGATTCTCCCTCATAATTAATGCAAACCAGATCCTCTCCCTTCCAAAGGAAAGTCACAGGGGGAATTGGGGAGAGGGAAGAGTCAAAATAAACTACATGACTCTTTTTCTTTTTTCTAACTTTTTTGTTGTTGTTGCTTTCTTTTCAGACTACCAGTGGACCTTCTGCCCCATCCTGTGATCTCCTCGACCTAAGCCCCAACCCTCCGACCCCTAGAGCCTCTCTGGGAGAACTCAGCTCGGTGAATGCTCAGCTTTCAGACTTAAGTAAATAAACACTCAGGCCTTTTCAGACCAGCAGAAGAGCATGATGTGAAATAGTGCTCCTTGGTTTCATAATTAAATGATACCTGGGAAGGATTGAAGTCAGTGTGGATATCAGAGAACTGTATTTGGAGCAGTAATTCCTTCCCACCTGATGGTTGGGTCAGGAATGGGATGTGTCTAGGGGAGGAGATTCTTGAAACTCATACCGCTGGCTTAAAATCTCAGTTCACCTTACTGCTTTGTAGAGGTTGTTCAACTCCAAGGCCAAAGCTTAAGACTACTGTGAACCTATATACTGTTTTACCTTTGGGATTCCCTGCTATACCACAGCATCAGGTAAGGGATAGATGGTGAAATGAGATGATGGAGAAATCTAGGAATTACAAGGCCCAATACGTGTGGTGAAGGATAGAGGAGAAAACACAGGCTTTAGAATCAGGAATTCCAATTTGAAATCTCAGCTCTGCCATCACTTCACCACCAACCTTTGAGGCCTGTAAAGGTAAATGAAATAATGTTTACAAAGTACACTGTAGGCTTAGAGAGTTACCTGTTTTGTTTCTCTTATTTATTTTTTTTTATCATTATTCCAAAAAAGTTTGGTAAATTACAAAATAAGGATGGTAAATTCTGAATTTTAGAAGTATTGTCCAACTGAAAATAGTTTGCTTTTCTGAAATGTTTTACAGAGTCAAAATACTCTATATCACTGAGCTTGTGGGTTATTATATTTAATAACTTTCTCCAGTTCTAAAATGTTGGCTACCTGCTTATGTGGGCTAATGGAATGGGGGGGTTCCATTACTTTATAGAGTTTACTTAAATTCTTATCAGGAATTTCCAGAAGGAGACAATATTTATTCCCTTTATTGTGACTCACTTAGAATTATAGGAAGTTAAGAGGAGGTCAGTGTAGAACTCTGAATATCCCAGTTAGCATTTTACTTTTGTGCTTAACGGAACAAGACATATAAAATCCCCTCTATTCTGGATTACGTGGGGATTTTAGAAAATGCAAAATAATAGTACTTGCAGCTTTTACTACAGCCTCCTTTTGCAACATGGTGTTTCTTTCCAAATCCAAATCCAAATGAATGATGATTTTTAAATTTTGAAGAAATTCTGTGGTTTTATGGTGACATAGTTCTAAATTAATTTATTTAATGTGGTTATTTTTCACTATAGAAAATCCAGCAGGACAGCTGATTGGCAAAAAGTTTTAAACCCAAGCAACAAGTCTATTTGTGTTCTAGGTTTTAGATCTCCCAGTCCTGTCATAACAAACAACGTGAACCCCAGTCATCTTCCACAGGTGGACTTGCTAGCCTCGGAAAATACAGAAACACCCCTGTAAGTATGTCAGTAACACTGCATTGGGAATACCGTGTCACTCTGATTACTTAACATTGAAGCAAACAAGTCGTAATAGAATAAGTACAGACTTACAGACCAGACAGACCTGAGTTAAAATCTCAGTACTGTATCCTGCTATCTTGGTAAAGGTACTTAACCACAGGGAACCTTAATTTTTCTCCTAAGAATACTTTCCAGGACTCGTATAAAGATTCAATGGTAGAAATACACTATTTAACACACCCGGTATGAGGGGGATTCAAAAATTTTGTGGAAAAGTGGATTTCAAAGATCACAGAATTTGTCCATGAGCTTTTCAGCCCTCCTGTAGAGCACTGGGTCCATAATAAACCTTCAGTACATTGTCTATGACTTAGTGGTACTAGGAAGTGGGGAGGAACAGGGAAATGCTCGGGAGCTTTAAAAAGTTTGGGAAAATTCCTATTATCTTTTCATTTTCCATGCATTTCTGAAGCCCCTCGTATAATGGCACAGGAGAGGGAAGAAAAATGAGGTTCAGAATTGTAGCAGTAATATTATTATAGGTAATAATATTATTATCAATATTAACATTTTCATTCCCTGGGTCAGTAATGTTCTTTATTATTTTATAGAAAAGAACCTGAGATCTAGAAAAGGACTACAGCTTCCTAAGTTAATATAGCTAATAAGTGGCAGATCTGATGAACTGGTCATCAAAAATGTATACAAATGATCCATTACCATCTGCAAAGATGCACAACATCACATATAGGGGAGAAATGTAAATCAAACTACAATAAGACAGTTTTCATCTGTCAGATTGGAAAAAATTCAGATGTTTTAATAACATACAGTTTGTTAGCTGTAGAAATACTGATGCTGTCGCAGAACATTGAAAGCTGATGGGGAGCAAGTAGCAATATCAAAATTATAAATGCATTTATCTTTTAACCTACAATATAATTGGTAGGAATTTATATTGAATTTATGCACATGAGGTAGTCTCAAGATTATACATTCCAGAACTTTGTGCAATAGCAAATAATAGGAACTAGCTCAAGCATCCATTAGTTGGGGACTAGTTAAATAAATATCTACTCAGTATATAACTGTACAGCTAGAATAAAAAGATAAGCTCTCTGTGTGAGAAACAATTGCTAATATTGTTATATGAAATAAAGTTTAAAGCAATGTATGTTATCGAGATTGCATCTATGTAAGAAAACTGGAATAAGAAAAATATTTATAATAGCCTCTTCACATTAAAAATGCAGGAAAGATACAGAAGACACTAATTCAGAGAGAAGGATCTTTGGCATCCTTCCTGCAAGCCCAGGCAGTGTGGTGGTCTATTGTACATAAGGTCACTGTGAGTGAGAACTGACTTGACGGTACCGAACAACAACAACAAAGGTCGGGGAAGCAGGCTAAGATAAAGGGAGAAATGAGCAAATTGAGATTGCCTTACACCAACATTGGTACATATGCACACATGCACACACACAAGGAGGCTTCACAAAGTTCATGGGAAAAGTCCATTATCTTTTAATTCCACTTTTCCATTAACTGTTTGAAACCCTTACATGTATGTGTGTGTGTATATATATTTTTAATTATTCAAGGGTAAGTCAAAAAAGTATTGCTACTAGGCTTCTAGTTCATACATGCATGAATTTAATAACAAATAAAATGTGTTTAAACATGTCTCTGGGACCAGTGGATGGCCACAGACAAGTTCTCTCAGTGATAACACTTGTCTTAGTGTCATTATGGTGGTGGTGGTGGTGTATAGGGTTTTCGAGGCTGTAAATCTTTACGGAAGCAGAAAACCTCACCTTTTTCCCATGGAACAGCTGGTAGTTTCGAACTACTGACCGTGAGATTAGCAACTTGACGTGTAACCCACTAACACAGTCCATTCAAAATAGACGTCAAGGGCATCAACTGAGCCAATTCAATTCAAGGCAGGGAGGTCAGTTCAGAAGGTTATGGAGACTGTTTGGGGCAGACACCAAAGATGTCATCTTGATATATTTTCTCCGAGGACAAGCCCAGGGGCTTAATAGGAAGTAGTTTTAGGGAAATTGGAAACTTCACTGGTGAAATAAAGGCCAGGAAGGTTGTGCCCAGGTATTTTTCTCATTCCTGGAGGTAGTAAGGGCTGTCCTGTGATAATTTCATTGGTGAGCTTTACCCATCCACCGTACAGCACTGGTTTTTGCTCCTTCAGACTTCTTTTTGTCCCCCAAATTCAGGGAGCATTTAAATGGCACTCAATTTGAGTTCCTTGACTATGCCGTTTTGATGTGGTATAAATTGAAGAGTGCAGATTCTTTGGGGATGGGTTGAAAAAACAACAAAACCATAAGAGTTGATTCTGCCTCAGCAACCCTAGACAAGGTTTCTGAGACTGTAACTTCTTTATGGGAGCAGATAGCCTCATGTTTGAGGAGCAGCTCATGGCTTTAAGCTGCAGTCCTGGCAGTTAGCAGTCCAGTGCTTATCCTACAGTGCCAACAGGACTGGAAACATCACCTTCAGAAGTGTGTAGACCTAGATGAAGGAGGCTATGTCAAGAAATAGTCACCGCACATTTTGATATGTTTGTTTAATAAAGCTTTCTCTGATTTTATAGCAACACCTTTTGTCTTACTCTAGTACATACTATGTTGTTAAGTGCCATGGAGTTGCTTCTGACACACAGTGACCCTGTATAGGGTTTCCTAGGCTGGAGCAGAAAATGTTATCTTTCTCCCAAGGAGCGACTAGTGGGCTTGAACCACCAACCTTGTGTTTCTCAGTCCAGCACTTATCCTACAGAATCACTGATCTCCGTTTATATATTGTAGTTAATAAGTAATACATTCCCATGACTGAGGTAACAAAACTATAAAAAGATATATAATGGAAATTCTTGATCTCGTCCCACCTGTATTTTCCCTGTCTCCCGTTTCCCTTGGACCATACTCTGCCTCCACGCAATAACCATTTTTATTAGTTTCTCATTACCCCTTCCAAGTTCCTTTAGGCAAAGGCGAATATGTATCATTGTTCTTATTTATTTCATAAAACACAGCATCCTGTGTACACTCTTCACCAGTCTATTTAAGCAGTCAGTAAACTTAGAGATTTCTCATTCTTTTATGAAGTTGCCTAGTATTTTATTTAAACACTTGTGTATCCACTCACTGAACTACTTTGTTGAATTATAGATATATATGAATGAGAAACAATAATCAAACACAGAAAAAAACAAGAATAACAACAAAAAAAACAAAGTGCAAAGGAACCCCACTGCCTCTGAGTCCATTCTGACTCACAGTGCCCTACAGGACGGAACGCAGCTGCACCATACATAGTGTTTCCCAGGTTGGCGTCTATGAAAGCACACTGCCACGTCTTTCTCCTGTAGAGCAGATGGTAGGCTCAAACCACCAACCTTTCAGTTAGCAGCTGAACACTTCACCCATTGTGCCCACAGGGCTCCCAGAGGAAGAACAGATTCATACATGTGTTGGCCTCCTGGTGTGGTGCAATAGGATTGGCACTGGACTGTGAACCACAGGGCTGGCTGCTCCAACCCAGTAGCTGTTCCTCAGAAACCCTATACGGTGATGGCACTTAACCATCACCACAACAACATGCATGTGTTGGAAAACATTTGAGTGGTACCGGCTGTCTCATGAACTACTAAG